CCCCAAAACCCCAAAACCCCAAAACCCCAAAACCCCTTTGATCATTTTTGTGCAAGATTGATATAAACAGGAAATTATTAAATCAAGTATAACTATTAAGTATAGATATCATAATATCCATGAAATATCACAATAATTTGATGATTCTTTCTAGTTTGTCTTCCAATGCTTTTGACCTATTTTCAACTAATTCATTATGATCCTCCATATCATTAATGCTCTAATTAATTTTGGCATAATCTTTGCTTATCATTTCGTAGAGCTGCAAAATCTCGAATGAATTCCCAGCAATCAAAGCCATATTTTCTTGGAAACTTTAGAAAATCATTTCATTTTAAGCCCAACCTGAATCGTCACTCATATTATCAGATATCACACTGTTTCCAGCTATTTGTCTCATTTTAGCCTTTTCTATTTCTTCTTCGTCTGTCATGGTATCTGATGTTTGTGAACTAGTAGCACCATCCATCGATGAGGATGTTTGAGATTCTTTATCATTCTATCTATGAGTGTTCTGGCTACTATCTGGTGCCTTAGTAGCAACAGAGTCTCTTTTTTATCCCTGTAGTTTTAGTTAATTTCTCTATTGACTACTCAATGCACTAGAGAAATTATTGTTGCTTTACCCGTTATTAATCTTATTAGTTGTAGAGTTCTTATTGCTAGGACTACCTCTAGAAGATAATGCTGGACTTGATGGACTTTTGTTTGATTTCTCATTATCAGCTTGGCCTATCATTAGTGTACTGGATAATTTTTTCTTGTACTATCTATTACTGAAATTTCCGACATTTATTTGAGCCACTGGCTTCTCTAATGGCTCTGGTTCAGATATAACAGGTATTTTCTGGTCTCGTTTTGCAGCTTTGCTTTTTAATTAAGATGACTATGGTTGTTAATCGTATTCATTATCATCAGTTGGTATCTATATTTTGAGATTTAACGGAGGGGGTCTCTTTTAAGGAAATGATGACCCATTTGTTGAAATCTTTTGTTCAGAGAGATTTGTTACAATAGGACCTGGTTGATTTCCGTTTTTATTGTGAGCACCTTTAGATCTATCCTCTTGTTAGAAGAGCTATTCCAATTAGATCTTTGCATTTTCCTTTTTCTTACCACCTTTGCCTTTTACATATTTGTTGAATATTATCTTTTTATTTTCTAGGTCCTAATCTTTTTTAATCTGCTGACCCTGTGAACTTAGGTAGTATTAGTCAGCAAGAGAAGTTATCTTAAGCTTTTACTTTTCTTTTACTTGATTTATTGCTCTTCTATGATGTTTTTATCTCTCTAAGGCTACTTCCCTCATCTCAGTAGTAAGTTTTTTGAATCTTCTTAAAACATCAAGAAGCTCCTTTCTCGTAATAACTAACAGTTAACACTCAGTCTCAGCTATTGCTGTGCTGTCTCTGCAATGTCTTTCAACTATTTGTAGTTGTTAGTCATTTTCAACTGCTTTTGGGAATATCTCAGAATCTCCAAAATATGATCCTTCCACATAAAGATTGAAAGGTACATTTAAAACTACTCCATCAGAAGCTCCTTCATTGACATCGATATACATCTTTACTCTACCTTTAAGTATAAAGAATACCTCTTCAGCATAGTCACCTTGATTATACAGAATATCCTTTCTATAAACTTTCATTGGTTTCAGCAAAGGCAATATTGAGAACAAGAAATGAGGATCCTTATCATTAAAGAACTTGATATTTTTAATAATCTCTCCATGAGTATGACTCACGACCTCAGCTCTTAAGGATGCTGGAATTTCACTCAGTAGTTGCTTTTAATCAAATAGTGAAAGATGCTCATTGTGATTGTTTTCCAAAAATCTTTTAATCCTGTTTTAAACATCATCTGGGAGCTTTGTTCTTTTAGCAAACTCTGTTAGGATATTCAATTTTTACTGTAAATGTGCTGCTTTAACGTCTATTGTATTAATTATCGAAGACAAGTTTCCTATGGTAAATGAATAGAAGCCGACTCCGATAATCATCCAAGCTAAAGCTGCTATCTTCTCATGCACACTATATGCATGAATATCTCCGTATCCTACCGTAGTAAGGGTCTGCAGAGCCCAATATACTGAAGTTAGATATTAATAAGGTGCAGGTCTATCCATTATTTATGATTTTACCACCCAACACTACTCATCAAAATCATTTAGCTTTGCAACAAGGAACCAAAGACACGCCATTAGATGAACCATAAAGAGAACACCAAATCCAACCATGACCATTCTTTAGATACCTGCATTAACTTTCATTGCCTCTTATAACTTCTTGAAACTTGCATTCTAGTTGATGAGACCCAGTATTTTGAATAGTCTTAAAATTCTGAGGAGCCTATACAATCTGGGGAGTCTTGCGAGTCTGATGAGCTTATTAATTTTGCTATTTTTACTTTGCTTTCCTGGAATCTAGCCTGTATTCTAGGTTGTCGAAGTAGTTGTAGAACTATCACTAGAGTTGTCAGACTCTAATAGTTAAAATGGAATACATGCCGCTACATCTAAGAAAAACCAAGTTTTAAAGTAGTTTAGAGCTATCCACTTCAGCCTTACTTCAATATTCTTATCTCTATCTTCATATGCACTAATGAAATTGATAAGTAAATCAAAGATGAACAGGGCATCAACCAGCCATTCAAAGTTTGCAAGTCCTTCTGACACATCATCAATAAATGCTGTTCTATACGGCACAAAAGTTGCTGTGTAAAGCAGCAAAAACATTATTACAAAATTCCATGACATTTTTATGTAGTTTTCAGGTAGTAAGATAAAAGGAAGAGGTGTAATGTCTTCCTCAATGTCCAGATCGATTTTTCTGCTTGCACCAAACATTGTAATATCTTCACTTAATTATGCAAATTTCTAAACAATCTTTGCTCCTCCTTTTGCTTTTATGAATGTTCGCCGCCATAGTTCTGCAGCTCTATTTACTTATTACTCTGGCTTAAGTTCCAAAAACTTAACCTTACAATCATCATCAGACTCTCCAGAGGAGAAGACAGGAGTAATAATTACACTCCAATCTTCATCTTCCTCGTTTTTAGGCTTGCAGCATCTAAGAATGTGAATAGTCTTTTGCATGCAATTCATTTCTTAAATCATTTCTTCTTGAGTGGCACCTGGCTAGTTTTTTGACTTACCCTATTCATAGATATCGTTCAAATAATTTATGTATTCCTACGTAAACTCTATTTTAGGCTTTTTATTTCCTTTACTCATAGCAGAGACTTTTGAAGCCTACCTCTTGACTGAAGTTTTTTGAGATTTAAGTAGATTTTAAGAAACATTAGCATCTTCAAATTCTTGAGGATACTTCTACTGATCTGGACTTTTTCCGATGTTCAGGTCATTATCAGTTGTCTTTCTTGATCTGGCAGGAGGGTTCGCGTCTTCATCTGTGTCTAAGAAGTTGTTGTTCATTGTAGATTTTTTCTAAAAACTCGAAAGCTTTCTCTCTTTAATTGAAGCTAAGGATTCTTTTAAGTTTGAACTCATCCTCTTACCTACTAAGTTATCATACTCATCGACAATCTTATCCATTTCTTACTCCATATTTAAATTTTGAATCTAACTGGTAGACGAAGCTTACTTTATCATGCTTTACTTAAGATAGAGAACATTAGGACTTCTAAATTGGCCATCAGAATTTTGATTAGACTGTCGAGTGTTCTAATTTTTTATATCTTACTGCGGACTAAGTTTTCCGAAACTTTGATTTTTTAGGCTTTCTTTAACTTTTTCTAAATCTTCAAATCCAGATAGGGACCCTGTGATTTTCGGATTATGCACCAAGTGACTTCTTCTTATTGAGATTTTCTTAACTGGAGATGTGGATCCTTTAGGAGGGGCTACTACTTGAGCAATTTTATTTCTTTGATTTGATTCATCAGAGTCATCATCAATAGAGGAGTGGGACTTTCCAGATGAAGAGGAGTCATTGCTGTTTGTGACTGTTGAATAGACCTACTTTCCTTTGTAGTTCTTTTGGTTGTTATTCATGTACGTTGCTACGTTTCCAATCATTTTAGCGTATTTTCGGAGAATATTTGGCCTTATTTATTCTTATTTTTTTTGAATATTATAATTTTTCCATATCCTATTCTATATCATAATTTCAATTCAGGGGTTTTGGGGTTTTGGGGTTTTGGGG